TATATATATGCTAAAATGAAAAAGGTCCATACAGAGAAAAACACAATTCACTTTGTTTTGAAAAGCAGTGTCTGCTACATCAACATCTGTCTTTAGTTAAGCAAGGAGTACAGACATCCTTTTCACTTATTCGCTGAAAGGGTGGTGGTGGTGGTGGGGGTGGCATTTTCTCATTTCCCCTAAATTCTTACGTCTGAAACAACAGAATACCAAACACATTATCAAGGCTGACTAGGAAGCACGTGACTCAGGGCATAAAAAACCAAAACAACAGAAAATGAAAAAGGTTGAAAAAGAGAAACTAAATTCATTCAATTATGAAACAAAACAAAGAGATCAAAAACAGAAAGAAGAAAAAACATGCATTTTAAGTTGCGTCTATGGCAACTCCTCGGTTAAGATTTGGCCTTGCATTTATAAATTTCATTAAAAGACTGTTAAGCACTGATTAAGAATGCAGTTTCAGGGCATTCCAGCCGAGGACACTACATAACATTATAAGATGTTTGAAAGCATTAACCATGCACACAATGTACAAATGCAACCATTGCATGAGGTGCTGTAACAATGGTGGACATGTGGGGGGCCCATGGGATTCTCAGCTACTGGAGTAGTGCTGACTGTGCTTATGTTTCACTTGGCCATGCTGTTACCTTTTAAAAGGAACCACCAATAGAGTCTGCTTGTAAATTACCACAACGAGGCTCAACCCTGCCAACTTCAGGCAGTAAATAATCTCCACTCACTCCAGCCCTCCACCCCCTCGCAGCTGCCCACACACAAACACGCATAGACAAACACACTATCCAACTACTCCAATGCCTATTCTAAGTCCCAGTGGCTGACCTGTGCCTCCCACCCCCCTTCACCAATCAGAAAGAAGCATAATCAGACCAAAGTTATTCCTTAATTATTATATTATTTATGGCTTGAAAGGAGTACTTTCAGACAGTGGGGGTGGATTAACCAAAACAATGTGCTGTAACTTAAGATCACATGTTGCTAAAATCAGTGCCGGGCCAACTGCCTTCTCAGACTTACATATATCAATGCTTTGTTTTACGTATTTTAAACATTTTGTTTATACTTCCTCTTTTTCTGTTTTGTTGGTTTATACGCTTCTGTTTTCATTTCACCATACAGTCGCGCTGTCTGTTCTAACTATCAGTAGGGGTGACCCTTTAAACGGGGTCATGGGTGACAGGATGTCGGTGCAGTACAGTGCAGACACAGATGAGCTTTTTATGAGAAAAAGAGGAAACGGTGCTGGAGGTTGAGCAGGGTCTTAGCTGAATATCACGTTTAGTGTTTGGCTTGGCTGTCAAACGCTGTTTTGGCATCACCATGGTGATGTAAGGAGCAACTGTAACCCCAAAGGTTTTATGATGACCTTGCCCACTGGCTTTCCAGTAGAAGCAGTTTGGGAGCCTATGTGTGTGTGCATGTTGTGCAATGGTGCTCCTGATTGAGTGTGTGTGAGGGGTGACGTTACTGACAGACTGGAAAAATAATGAGGATTATTTTTCAAGACAATAAAACATCTGTTACACCTAAAAATCCTCAGATAGTTATAAAAAATGACAATATGTGAAATATCTTTCAAGTCTGCACAGTTAAAAGCTCTGGTTTCACATTCAAATATTCTCACCTGGGGCCTAGCTCATCCTCGCTACGCCAGACAAAGTCTCCGAATTTTTCATAATGAGAATTGTAGTGATGCTGGACTCTGTAGAGCAGTGGAGGAGGAATCTCCATCAGCAAATTGTAGGCCATCTGCTGCTCTTTGCCGCTGGTGTAGCCATTATACAAGTTGTACACCTTGTCTGCAGTTTCTGTCGGGAAGAATAGATGAATGAATTAGAGACTGAAAAACAGAGAGGGAAGAAGTGAGGAAAGTAAATAAGAGATTAAAATTTTAAGGGAATATGTAAAAATACATGCAGAAAACATACAGAATTTTAAACAACAGGGATCAGATTGATTATCGGCCATGAAAATAAAACTAAACAAAAGAAAAAAGAAAAAAACAAACCAAAAAAACTGCTGTGCATTTTTTTGAAAGGTACGTTATCTACTTCATCCATATTACACATTTATCGGTAGGAATTCTCCATTCAGACTCAAAACTTGTGGAAGACATGTTACATAGCATTTGAGGTGTTATTCAGTGGAGTTGTTTGTAATATAAGCACTCTGTCTTTAGATAAATTCTGAGCTCCACTTGGGCTATTACATTTACCTGACCTCCAAAACGCCACTCAGTCCCTTGCAATATCTAACATTTGTATTTGCTCTTATATCAGCACATACACGATTGCCTTTCAGATGCCTCTCCTTAATCTGAATTATTTTGGCAGTCGATTACTTGCTCACTTGTTGGATGTACTTGTTTATGCTACTCTTAGGAGACTGTGCTAGTCATTACTGAAATGAACATGCGGGATAGTGTTCATGAATTTGTGCATTTTTAGTAGCAGCTGCCCACCCACAGAACTTTCCACCCCCATTGGTGCATTTTTTTGTGATTACAGCCTCACTCTAATTTGTCCCACCGAGTAAATCTGGCCCTACCTCCTAAAGCACTCTCCTTCCCATATTTTGGATTCTTGAGTACTTTGTTTGACAAACTCTGTCTGCTATAATTAAAAAATTAAATTGACATTACAAATTGGTAGAGTGTGCCTTTACATTTTGCTAACCATAGTGTGCAATCTTGCATGTGCACATTGCATAGGTAAGAGCACAGTAGACAAAGTAGTGGATAAGTAGCCATTCAGGTAAACTGTGATTACATGAAAGCGATGCAAGGAAAAAAGCAATATTAAATAAAGACGAGTACAATAAAGCAGAGTCCCAAAAAATGATGGGTGAGAGTACCTTCTGCTCGCGTGTCATCCACCACTGGACAAGATGTCCGTACTGAGACAAAGCTTGATTCAGAGTAACTACCTCGGCTATCCACTGCATAGAGAGTAAACCTGAAAGTAACAACAACAAAAAAAAAAAATAGCACCAGTAAGTTCATCATTTATAAGGTAAAATAAGATACAAGGGAAACAGGTAAGGTACAAGTGAGCAAAAGGTACTCAATATTGATTTAAAGTCATATGTATGTCCTGTCACCAAAGAAAATACATTGTAATTTGCGGTGTTACTTTCAGAGAGTGAGAAAGCATGCACACAAGGGAAGAAATGCTCTTTAAAAAGTATTGCAATTCATTGTCAGCTACAATTTACCCTAAAGGAAAAAAAAAAATCTAAATTCTCTGTCCAGTTGGCATGTGGTTTCAGGAGGTTGTTGGCAGTTGAGAGATTCAATAAACTACCTGTTTAGCAATTGACTGATGGACACAGGTGTGGCCGACTGATGGGAAAACAGAAATTAAGAAAGGAAACAGAACTAACAACAATAAAAGAAGGTGAGTATTTTTTTTATAATAAAGCAGGAAATGCAGGGCTCCTGTGAGTCATCAGAGTACCCTTTCTTATTAAGAGGCACCTGAACCATACCCCACCCAATTGACCAGATATCAACAACCTTCTCTTCCTTCTGCACCAGGAGCTGCTTGACTACATACATTGACCTGGCTGAAGCATGTTGAGAGGAGGAAAAACAGCAACAAAGCTGACCACCTTGGGGAAGTTGGGAAAGGGCTGCAAAAGGGCAGCTAATATGCATAAATTCAACCTGTACAGGCAGATCTTTGGTGGACATCCAGACTTTCAGGCCCATCTAATGACAGGAGCAAGGCTGTTCAAACCTTCCTCCACGCAAGGTAGCACCTGCAAATAAGCGGCTAAGCTTAAGGAACTAACACCTCTTTCAGTTCTGGAAAGAGCAAAGGCTTGTAACTGTGAAAACACTGGAAAGGTGAGAGACCTGTGAGAAACCTTTTTGGCAGAGAGTAGGTTGAGCAATACCATGAAATTGTTGACAGAGAAAATAGTTGTGTTACCTTCTGAGTTTGGAATAACAGCTACAAAGTCACCAGAAATGTGGAACCACATTTACAAAGGAATAGGAGGGAAGGACATAGAGCGAGCCTACAGGATGATGATTACAAGGTTTAGTTTTTGAGCAGGCTGAACAAAAAGCAATAAAATCTCTCACATCCCCTCTCATTTCTAGCCTGTCACCATGTGACGTGTGAGTATTAATGTCTGTTGATGTCAGTGAATAACTTGAGTGGCTGAGGAATAAAGAATTACTCAAAGGCGCAGCTTCCTGGAACTTTAACATCTTCCAGTACTTACCTCACCTAACTCTCAACCTCCTGGGTAACCAGCTCAAACTGGATGAACATGGGTGTATTATCAGTCTAATGGTGCAGACCAATAACACTCTGTGAAACGCCACCTTATTGTGGTGTTATTATTTGTGTTATCCCAGAGATCCCAGAGACTATGATGTCAGGGGTTTTTGCCCTGGTAAGGTCTCCCTGAGGAAAATTGGCCCTGAAGGGCAGACAATGAACTATCCACATGATCCCTATGCAAGACCAAGGAATCAAGGGACCAGTTTACCTTGTCTGAGACAGGGGTACCAGGGGTGCGCCCTGGAGCCACCTTGTGGCTCAACACCCACAGGAGGCTTTTGCGGTTGAGGCCCAACTGCTGGGGCTGACTCCTGGGAAATGAAACATCATCTCTCTTGTGGGGAAGATACCTGAGCTAGCATGCCAAGTTGAGAAATACTGGCAAAACATAACCTCACCTGGTGCCTCGATGGAGGCTAAACGACATTGAGTCCAAATGACCCATGTTTGGCACCTTAATTTTTGAGGAGGTATGGTTGCAAGGTGGTTAGAGCATTTGTAGTGGTAATCCCAGGACCCAATGATGGACACAGAAAGGAGCTATCAAGATGAGAAAAGGGTCCTCTCAGGTTTGGTTAGCTTGTGGGACTCCAGGGGCAGCTGACTGGTTCTGGGAGGCCCAGAGGAATGAGGCTCTGCCAGTAGTTAAAGCAGAGCATTTTGCAAGGTGTGGGAGGAGTTCAGTGAGGCCATGGAACAAGACTTTCAATTGGCCTCGAAGCAAGGTGTTCTGGGAGAACGGCACAAGGCTGTCCTCCCAGAAGAGCACAAGGCTGTCCTCCCAGTAGGAGTGACTGTTCAGGATCCCAGGTCAGCTGAGAGACCTGGGAATGCATTGGTGTTGCCCTGGATGACCCTACAGGAGGTGTCCGATGGGAGGGAAGTCTGGACTTCTCTGATTAGATTTCTCCTCCTTTGACCTGGCCCGTGACACGTGGTAGAAAATGGAAGGATGGATCTTGGGCTAAAGGAATTCACTGGCTTCAGGGAGTGCTCTTTATGTGTAATTAACACCAGATTGTCCAGACTGATATCCATGGAAACTACTAGGGAATTTAAGTCAGTAGAAAATATAAAGGTGCAAACTCATCTGGGAGACACTTTTTGACATCTTCGCACTTTAGATTTGCTTGGCTAAAATGCACAAAAAGGCATCAGCAAGAGAGACACCAGTCAAGCCACTTTGAACCAAAGTACAGAACTGGAAGACAAAATCTGCCATTCTGCTTTAACTTGATGGATGAGAAAGAGAAAAGGAGCTTTTTCTCTCCCGTGGGTTCAATAATAAAAACTTGCTAGAGAGTAATCTTTAGATGAATGCCTTGCCCACTCAGCTGAAGCTCACTCTTGTGTCCTACCAGTCAGGTAATTCAGTACTGTTATTGCTCATTCTGTGGTATAAGAGAAAGGATTTGGTAAAAAAACAAGGGGAGAACAGTTTACCGGGCAAGAGGGTCTCTAACACATTTTTCATTCTAGATTTTTGGATCATGAATAGGTAAGTGCATTCTAAATGCAATGTCCACTGGCCTGTCAACAGTAGCTTGGGCTGATTAGCTGCTACACTTATTCTAAGTCAAACCCTGGAGTGAATCAGATCCTTCTGAGGCATTCATGGCTAGAATCAGTAATGGGCTTGCACCATAGGCAGACTCTGATGCAGGAATTGGACAGAACTTACAGTAAAAATAAATAAATAAACTCCAGCAATGCAAATCTCACAGGAATCAATCAAAAGCAGAAGACAAAACCTGGGAGGACAACACACATCAAGGAATCACTGACAAAAATACTGTCCTGTTAAAATGACACCCCATTATAAAGAAGCTTGCAAAACCATCTTCAGCCCTACTGTCACTACTGTTAGCAGCAATAATGTTAAGAACTTATTTTCTGCATGATTTTATGAGTCTCTCACACTGTTGTTGAGGACCTTTGACCTAGTCTTCTTTACAACATTGTTTGAGTTTATTGAGGTTTTGGGCATTGTTTCATGCACAGAGCAATTCCAGCATTGCACACTCCAAATTCAATCAGAGCGAAAGTCTAAACACAATAACAGTAAAAGAAATGCGCTTGTGCAGGGTAAATAATGTTGGTGTTTACTGTGATCACATATTATGGACAAAGTTCTCCCTCTATTAGAGGGAATAATAAATAATATCCAGTTATGTGTCAGATTGATTTTTCAAAGAAAGGAATCAAAAGCAATTAAAAGCATAATATTTTTAAACATTGTTTTCTTTGCCAGTGGGAAAAATTTTAAGAAAGTGAATAAAGTACTGAGAAATATTTAAAAGTACTTATAATATTAACTTTATGCTTTCAGAAGTACTTTCACAGTTACCACTGTAGAGACAACAGAATGGCAAAAAGGGAAACCACATAACAGAAACAAAATAAATGACTAAATTGAACTCAAATGTTAAAAACATTTTGACACACATGAAAAATAAAGAATTAAATTAAACTATTACTAATTTAATAAAAGTTGCATTTTTCCTAAGGCCATTTGGATTTGTTTCATGCACTGTGTTTTGAGATCTGTTCCCTTGCTGTCAAATGACTGTTTTGTTTGTAACATGACCTGTTTGGACATTGCTCGCATAGTTTGTCTGGTGTTGTTATTCAGCAGGGTGGATGTGGTATTCCCCAAGAACCTCACTAAAGACACACGGACCTCACTGGCTCCTCTGCCCAGCAAAACAATGCCAGCATGTAACAGTCACATAGTTGAAATTATGTGGTCGCATACCGTGCAGATGGCTATAGTAACATAGGGGAGAATGACAAAGCAAAATGCAGTTTGGTAAGCGTGTTGGGAATAAAGATCTGATATTACAAGTTTCATCTTTTTCCTTTTTTAAATTGCTTAAACGGTTGGATCAATGCTAATTTTTCACCCTGCACAATTTCACAGCAATTGCGAGATTCTTATGTACATTTAAAAACCCATTTAAGTCAAAAGATTAAGCCTCTCAGTGGCTCAGCTGTGGAGAAGAATCACATGCATTAATGATTACAGACAGATTTTAAAGAAAATGTATACGAAATTTAAAAAAAGACATTAAGACCATCTTGCACAACAACAATACACGGGGGTATTTAACTTCTTAATGGGTCTCATTCATACAATAGTAGAAGCAGAACTATGGGTATAGTGTCCGAACCCCAAAATGGCACTAAGTGACAATAAAGTTCACATAGGAGAAAGAAGCAAATGGCCACCGTCTGGCCTGCCACAAAAATGTCAAATCATCAAGTAAGAGAACTGGCAAGATATGTAAAACCACCAAGACTATCTCCACCTTACCCCAAGAGGCACTTTCCTTTGTCTCTTTGCTTTTCTCTCCACATTGCTTGCATATAGCTCATCACTGTTTATCCCCCATCTCTAATTCAGTGTCTGTCACATCTATTCCAATCTTGTCTGGCTGCACATGGCTTCTTTGGAAGGGGCTTGGTTTTGTCCATGTGCCATAGTTTTGAAAGCTCAGCACACAATGAACTGGACAAATGGCAGATTAATGTTTGAGTAAATTAACAATGTTGCCATTAAAGTAACTATTGTCCTCTAATTTAATGAGACAGTGGAGAGATGGGTGAACAAGAGATGACAAGACCGAAAGCTCAGACACAGCGCAAGGGAGAAGGAGTGAGGG